GATGCCCTACGGAGTTGATATTTTGTAAGGGCCACCCCAATGTGCATGCAAAGCTATTTCGTAGTAGCAACTGTACTTACTCGGCTCCAGACAATTGTCGGCCGATTGTTTCCGTCTCGGTCAATGGCTTCGCAGGGCAATTCGGCTGTTTCGCCCAACTTTTGTATGTAAATAGGTTTCGGTGTTATACTGAATATTGGCGGTCGCAACACAATTACACTAATTATGGGCGATGGTCCATCCGTTCCCAGGTCATTGTAGGGTGTGCATGTATAACTGCCTGCCGTACTCTCGTCCACTTTGGAGAAATACAGACTGCCATTGCTTTTGTAGAAAACACCCTGTATATAATAAAAAAGTGAAAATAAGATGAGTCGTGAATATGTATGAAATGAAATTAAATAAAAATATATTAGGGAGATTGACTTGCTTTTTCCAAACCGGGTTCCGCCGATGTTTTAGATATCTATAGACGGTTTTATGAAATCTGAATATCGAATAAACTGGATTTTTTTAACCAACAAACCGGTATCTTCATATCGTAAAAATCTTGACCTCTAAATAAAAGCTTTAAGTTTTTCGAAGCTTTTAAGGGAAACCTCTAAATAGTTGTAAAAATATATCTTAGGTTATTTGGAGATGAACAACATATCATATTTGATTCCAATAAAGGATTGTTTGACGCTTAAACGTTTTCTATGTGTTTGACCGCGCTTCTTCTCCAATTCGTGTTCTGCTTCTTGATGTTGTGACACAAATGGGGAGAACTTTTTTATTTTAGAAGTGCCCCCGGAGGTTCGTCATTGTCGCCCGATTGTTGTTACTGGGACCAGAAATTGAACCGTGGACCTCACGAAAAAGAAAGGGTCAGTAAAAATGCAATAAATTATTAAAAATAAGTTAAAAGAAGACCAAATGTAAATTTTTCACTGATTTTTATTTGTTCTACTCGTGATCTAAAAAAGTTTGTAATAATTTTTCTTCGCGCTTTTCAAAGAAAAGAAAAACCTATTATTACTGTTAAATTTCGGTCATTACTTCATACCAACATAAGAATTTTCACTGAATGCAAACTGTGTAAAATAATACCAGTTTATCCGTTTTTTTTTTAAATTTCAAAATAAGGAACCAGTTTTTTTCAAATTGCAATTTTTCGAATAACTCGAAAACCGGGTTTGAAAAAAAGGCGAATAACCGAACACCCTTAGTTTTGTTTGATCTTTTTTATTAGGGTCCGAGGGGCAATTTTTCTGTGTATTTTGTTGAGACTAAATTCCGTTAAAAGTACATCTTAAGAGCCACCCTAATATTTGAATATGCCAACAGCAGGGCCAGGCAAATACACCGCGAGTCTGCCTGGCACGAGTGGTCGAATTGGCATCATTCACATCATAAATAAGGCCTGGGGCGTATGAGTAACTTCTGAAGAAGCTTGGAGGACAGGGACAGAAAATAATAGTTTTTATTTTTTTCTGGTATCTATAAAAATGTCATTTAGAAGATATGTTTTTCGAGGATATTTTTAATCTTTTTATAATCACATTTATTTTTCGGTCAATAATATTCGTTATTTTGAACCTTTTTATCGATTTTATTGACACAAAATTGTTTGATCATTCTTCGTTCTTCGTTCTCGTGGTCGTTTTGAATCCTCTATGGTCCACAAAATAAAATCTTAAAATAATGGTTTGAAATATGATTAAAAAAAAGTCTAAATCCAAACAAGTAAAGCATTAGGTCGGGCGAAACCGAATTTTATATACCCGGCGCAAGTATCAAATATCGTCGTTTCAACTTTCTTTCACCGATTTCCAACGTTTTTTATATTATGCTGATCATTGAACCAAGTTTGTTAGTAATCGATAAAGCGGTTACCGAGATAGACCTTTGTAGTAACAAAGTGGGCGATGCCATGCCCAAATTCCTAAGAGTCTATAACAGTCTCATTTATTGTTAAGAGATTTTTGTTAGTAATAACTTGGAGCAAATTAGTGTCCTCAGTTTTTTATTTATCGGAGTTTTCGTATTTTTGAAATTCATCATTATACGGGAAGTCGGGGTAATTTTAGTCCGATTTAAATAACTTCCAACAAATTGTTTTTTCGTACCAAGCTTATAAGGTGCACCAATTTTGGCTGAATTTGATGAATCGGTTACCGAGATACACATTTGTGGTCATAAAAGGGCGGCGCCAAGCCGATTATCCAAAATTTTATAAAAATTAAATTTTCCGGCAAGTGAGTTTCTGGTTAGTGAATTAGCTTCAATAATTACTGATTTATCGCAGTTTTCGTATTTCTGTAAATTACTGTTATATGAGGGGTGGGCGTTGTTATTGCCCAATTTCAAAGATTTCGACAGATTTCGTAGTTGGACCTTAGGAATGACTCAGATCGAGTTTGGTAAGGATTGTTGAAGCGGCAACCGAGATACAGCGTTAAATCATAAGTGGGCGGGGTCTCGCCCATTTTCAAAAAATTCCATAATACTATTATTTTGTACCATAATTCTACTTCACATACCAATTTTCAACAATTTCGATTGAATATTTACTGAAATATAGTAGTTTTCGCATCTTTCGAAAATACCGTTACATTGGAAGTGGGCGTGGTTACAGTCAGATTCCGGCCGTTTCCAACACCAACCTACCTAGAGATATCTCAATTTTTGCTCGAGTTATCGTGTATGCGGACGGACGGACAGACAGACATGGCTTAATCGACTTCTCTTTTCATTCTGATCATTTGCATACATATGTAAATATTTGTCTATATCTATCTCGATCCGTTTTAGCTGTTACAAACAACGTTTATGTCAACAAAATTATAATACCCTTGTGCACATGTGCACTGGGGTGTAAAAAACTTTGATCTAGAAAATTTAAGTAGTAAAACAATGGCCATATCCCACACCATCTTCAAAAGAGGCACAACTCAAAAATCTGATACGAAAATATAACTGCTTGTGGAAGGTGCAGATTCAACGCAATTAATACAAAAATAGGTATAACAGTAGTTTTATAGTTAGAGATCATGAAGAAAAGAATATTTGCATTCATTTGAATTGATTTTTTCATAAAAATCTACCTGCATTTTTTTTAGTTGTTCTCCTTTTGAAGATGGCGTGCGATATGTAAGTATGTAAACGGAGACTCCTATTACACCGTGCGGTAGTCAAAAATACACACACACAGATATCAATATATACGCGATACTAGGGACCAAAAATAGTAAAACTGCCTTTTTAGTACTTCTCTCTGACGTCGGAATTTTTTAAAAGGACCTTGAAATTTGAAGTGTAGTACATGATTAATAAATAAGAATATTTTAAAAATTCAATGCAATGTAGAACAACAAAATGGCCTTATAATAAAAGAGAAAATTGTGTGGAACTAAACAAGATTAAATCTTTTGCTGCATAAGGACGATTGGGTATGGAGAATATCATTTTAAAATTTTGTCCTAAAATACCCTTGAAAATTTGCTCATTAATTTTTGAAAAAAATTATATTTTAAGGACTAATATACACACGACCACATCCTCGAATTTCGTCCTCCTTACATTATTAGCTAAAAAAAAATAATAATAATTAAACGCAAATTTTCAATACCGATTCGTCAGTTCTACAGAATTTCTCGTTCTTGATATCTACTCACATTGTTATTCCACATTGCACTATCATGTCTTTGATATTACAAAGTCCTTTCAAAAAAATACTGACGTCAAAGAATAAAACTAAAAAGGCAGTTTTATATATATTTTACCCCCAGTTTCGTGAGCTGAGTGTTTCGTGTGTTTTGAAATTTTTTATATTTTTTTTTGTGTTAGTTATTCGTGAAACAGAAGTTATGTAGATATCGATTTTTTAAACACTTAAACGATCAAAAATACATACCGGTACATTATATGAATCGAAGAGTAATCCATCTTTTTCCCAGCGCAGATTTTTCAATGGCGGATTGGCGCGAAAATGACAATCAAGTACCGCTGGCTGACCAAATGGCAGGTAAACCTCGGGTGGTGCATAAATCACTTTGGCCTTATCTGAAAGCAATGCAACGTAAGCAATGACAATGACAGCAAAAACGCTATGCGACAGATAGTCTAAAAAAACGCACACACATGCACGCAAACTTCCGCACACAAACAAATAGGTAGTATTATAATGCATATATGGACATATGAGCTGTTTATAGCTGCGTATACGTATGTAATATACATACATATATACATTAGGGTGGTCAAACAAAATCCAAAAATTATAATCAATATTTTTCTCTCTGTTTCTATTCAGGCGATTCCCAATAATAGTAATCCGCCAAAAACCCCAAAAAATGCAATAACGGACCAATGAAAAATCTTAAGTACACGGTCAAAAATTTGGGTTTAATTTTTAAATCGCGCTGGGACTACTGCCTTTTTTAATCTTTTATAGTCTACTTTTCAAACCAGTCAATAGTTTTAAGCAATTTTTAATATATTCTGGTTTAAATTTTAGTCCAAAAATTTTGTGGTTTAAAAATCAAACCAAGATGTTTTAATTCTAGTTTCTAGGTTTCATATATAGAAAATTTGGTTTAAAATCTAAACCGAAATAGAAAATGTTTGCACTCAGCGATGTGGTATTGATTCAAACTCAACATATGAAAGCACATTTACATGCGTGGCTGTAGCTGACTGTGCAAAGATGCTTGATACAATTGGTTGCACCAAAGCCGTCCGGGTTCAATCCCCATCAGACGGAGCATGAAATTGAAGATTTTTTATTTTTTTATTTTTAATTAAATCTGAAAATGTTTGGGTTTAAAATTTAAACCGAACTGTTTAAATTCTAAACCAAACAAATGTGCTCTCTTTTTTTTTGAACTTGGCAGGTTTGTATTTGAAACTGAATTTAGTTTGGTCATATATGTAGTCCAAAAAGTTTAAAATTAAAACCGAAATTTTTAACCGTGTATTAAAACATGGTTAAATAAACAATTGAATATTATCACTGCAAGTTTCCTGAAAAAAACAGAGAGAATAATTCTATATCATTTCTACGAAAAATTGTTTTACCCATGGAAAATTTTAATTTTTAATTTAATCGACCTGTAATTTTTTTTTTGATTCCAAAACAAAAATATAGGGGTATATTTTTTCGATCTAGAACAATCTTAGGGGGTGTGAGTATTAAAATTCCGACTTTACTATTTTTGTAACACCCTAATGTACATATGTACATATACATATGTACAAACTAACACAAGCTTACCTGCTACCATGAAAATTTGCTGCTACTTTGCTGCACTAATATGCAGTCCCATCCCACGCACATTCATACCATTCATTCATGGGAACCTATAAGTATTTACTTACGCATATACGTACATACGTACATACATACAAGTTCAAGCAAACGGCCACATTCACTTACATTGTATGTTAAGGAATGCTTTGGCAAATTGAAACTCGCCCTCTGTATTGTTGACACGGCACTCGTATTCACCTAAATCGCTCATCATAGTCGGATCGATGCTGAGGCTGCCATCGGGGCCCGTATGACAACGACGTATCAAATCCTGTACTTCCTCTAGTGGCGTGCCATCTTTGAACCAGCCAATGGTCGATGTTTCTGGGTATTTCATTACACAATGGAAGAAAGCTGTTTGACCCTCCATAATCGTTTGATTCACTGGCGGTATTTTTATGAGCGAGCCACCTGTTTATGCGAAGAGAAAATG